AGTGGCTTACAATCTCCTTCCCTTCCTCTCCCCACTACGTGGGTGGGGTTGAGAGAGTACTGAGAGAACTGTGGCTGGCCTAAGGTCACCAGCAGGCTTCATGTGGAGGAGTGGGGAATCAAACCCAGTTCTCCAGATTAGAATCCGCTACTCTTAACCACTACACCACACTGGCTCTGATTGTGCTCTGGACACACAGTCACTGATGGCTATATCCACAGTTAGGGCTAGCCAAAGGCTTTTGGCACCTGAGGCCAGCCAGCCCACTGCCCCCCTGCCAGGATCCTCAGGCACCCCCCACATACAAACACTGCTAGGCCAGCCAGGCTTATCCATACCCCAGGCCACTGTAAAAGAGGAATCCCAGTAGGGTTGCCAGACCTGACTACTATATTATATTTTGAAGGGGGGAAAGGTCTAGTTTATTATACTCATTGATTGTTGAACGTATTTTTCATTATTTATGCATGTTTGATCATTTGTCTCTTTTGTATTACTTGGTCCCCAGTCCCAGCAGGGATTTCCCTGGTTTTCGGGAAACCCCACCCTGAAACAACCACATCCCCGATGCGATGGCATCATCCAGAAGTGATGTTATCACGTCAGGGGACTTTGTGCAGGATGCTCTAATTTGAGGGCAAAGCTGTATGGTAAATTTCACCTAAAACCATAGAGTTTTGCCCTTAAACCAGAGCATCACCAATGTGATGATGTCACTTCCAGATGATGTCATCGCATTGGGATGTCCTGGAACACCCCTCAAATCCCCTGCCAGCATAGTGAGGGGACCTGGGCAACCCTAAATCCCAGTGATGGAGGTTCTAGTGGCCTCCTGCTCTTCTTCCCTCCTTTGTGAAAGCAGGACAGGGGGGAGCAGGCTGGGAGCACTGCTCTGGGCTCCCACTTTCCATTGGCAAACTTCTTTTGATGCCCCAGGCAATTGCCTAGGTTTGTCTGGTGGGTGGGCCACCACTTTCCGCAGCTGACAGAGATCATGAACCATGACTCAGTGGTGGAACAAAAAGGCCCAAATTAACACCTTTTAAAAAATAATGAGGCAGGTAGGAAACTACACCTGGGATCCACATCTTTTAAAAAATGTGGTAACTCTTTGTACAACATCCCATACTCTTTGGAATGAGAATGATGCACACAAATAAATAAAAGCAATCTATGTCTGATAGGGTTGCCAGCCCGCAGGTCCAGGATGGGGATTTTTCCCGGTTTCGGGGGCTTCCCTCTGCTGCGGACCAGCTGGCAGGCAGGGGAACCCCTCCCCAAAACAGGAATGTCACTGCACCATGTCCCCAATGTGACATCACCCAGAAGTGATGTCATTGCATCGGGGATGTCATGCGGGGATGCTTTGGTATTTGGGCAAACTCTATGGTTTTGAGGGTGAAAGCACCATAGAGTTTCACCCATATACCAGAGCATCCCTGACGTGATGATGTCACATCGGGGACATTACTCGACATCCCCTCCCACCCCTGAAACACCCCCTGAATCCCCCTTGCAGAGGAACAAAGAGACCTGGCAATCCTAAGTCTGACATGAGGCTAAGCACCCTTTCCTGCTTGCCCTCTGTAATGCCATTTTGTTATAAGCTACCCCCCTGTGCTGTAATAACTAAACTCGTTATGATAATAGAAGGTGATAACTAATAATCAAATGACCTTTTAAACTGAAGGACATCTGTTAAAATAAGCCAGACACAATTATCAACTATAAGGTATTTATTATAAAGATTTCTAAAAAATCAAACCCACGCAAATGACAATTCAAAATAGTTATTGAAAGTACTTTCAAGTTGTCCTTCTGTTCAGAAACAAAGTACTGCAGGTGATTGCAACAAATTAATGTCAGTTGCATAAGCAGCTGATTAACTTGTTCCCTAAGGAAAAAGAGGGTGCAAAGAGTTAATTACAAGCTGCCTCAGACCCAAGAAACCATTTTTCTACGTCAGGTCTCTGAACAGCATGGCTGGGGAGCAGGCGTGGTCCCAGCACATGGCAAGGGCTCACAAAGGAACAAGCAGCTGGAAACTGGGAAAGAGCAAAAGAGTAATTTTCCCTCTTGGGGACTTAGCTAGGCTCCAGTTTTTTCCCGTGGTGGAATCAGTGACATGGTTGGGGCAGAAGAGGTACTAACTCATGAATGTGGGCCAAAGATAAAAAGATGCCCTTGGAGTCATAGCAACCTCATGAGGTGGGGTCTGGACAGACCCCCATTACCTATGACAAAGCCATTTTCCAATGCCTTCTCAGTAGGAACAGAAGGAAGAAATTCAATGAGACTCACGTAACACATTGGCCTTGTCATGGAAATATGGTTTCCAACAGCCTGGAGAAAAAATGTGCCGTCCCCTTAACAGAGGTTCAGTAGGACATTATTTACCAGGTGATGTTATTTACCTCCATGCCATGAAAAGCTTCAACTGCCCATTTCCACATATTAAGTCTCTATTAAAATGGCAGGCCATTTTTCCTCCAGACTGCTGGCAAGTTGCAACCCAACTTGGAAAGTGTCGTTCTTACCAGCAGAGAAATGTCAATCTCCCTTTTATAAACAAGGACGTTAGATTAGTTACCTGATGAAATACAGTTTGGGTGACACTAACAGATAAATATTGTTTCCAAGTGTAAACTGGAGGTCGCATTTGTAAATGACTACAGCCCTAGTCATAGAGAGATGCAAAAGTTCTTCTTCATTGCATATCTTATTTATTAAATCATTTATATTCCACCTTTCCTTGTGGGTCAAGGTGGCTTACAACCAGGGCTTTTTTTCTGGGGGAACATACCGGAACAGTGTTCTGGAACCTCTTCAACAAAATTCTTTTAAAATGTTTAAAAGTTTGTGAGTTTTTTTTTTGTTTTAAATTTTTATTATTTTCTCTTAAAAGGGAGGGATACAGAAGGAAAAATAGGGGTAGGGGAGAGATTATGTACAACAAGTGAAATCAGATGTATTACCAAATATATTTCAAATATAAGAGCAAACAATAAAACTTGAATAGTACAGAATTGGGGATAAATTATCTCTTTAAAGAGTAGACAAGAACTTTCCTAAGGTTAACAATAATCTATTAACAATAAAGGAAATTATATCTTTGACAATTGAACAGGCTTCTATACTAAAATCAAATCACTGTAAAGACCTTGATATTGCTTTAATTGTTCGTCTAAATCTAAATTTTATTTTTACTAATTATTTAATTACTACAGGAGTACAGAGTAACGTATTGGGATTATAATCAATACCTTCATTGCCTTTAATATGATAATCAGATAATTCCAAAACTTAAAAAAAGTTAGTTGATTCCATGGTATGAGTAATAAGCTTGTCATTTCTACTGAAATTCTTCCAGTGGTCTTTTGTTTACATAATTGGTTAGTTTTGCCAGTGTTGCATACTCAGCTAGTTTTTCTTTCCAGATCTCTATTGCAGAACAGACTTCTGTCTTCCATTTCATTGCAAATATTACTTTGGCAGCTGTTAACATATATTTAAATAGGTCTTGTGAGGTTCTATCTATGTTGTCTGGTAAGATTCCCAGTAACATAGTCTCTGGTTTTATTGGGAATTTGGTTTTTAAAATATTTTGAATTTCTTAATGTATTTTTTAAGTTTGATACTGGTTTCTTTCAGTATCTTTTGGTTTTGATACATTCCACCACATATGATAAAAGGTACCATCTTCTTTTTTACATTTCCAGCAAGCCCCCTTGTAATTCTTATCCATCTTTGCAATATCTACTGGCGTGACGTACCATCGGTAAAGCATCTTATACCAGTTTTCCCTTAGTGCTTGACTACAAGTGAATCTAATACCCTACTCCATAGATTTCCCCAACATTGAAACTGTATTTCCTCTCCAAAATGTTGCATCCATTTAATCACGCAGGGTTTAACCCAGAGGTCATTTAGTAGAAAAAGAGGTGCAGGAGCTCATCAGCATAACTCATTAGCATAACTTATTTGCATATGTCACACCCCCTGACATCACCGGAAGTGTGTTAGAAGGCAACATTCACCACTCAGGCTCCAATGGACTGTTTTGGATTACTAGCTATTGGGAAGGGGGAACGTGCAGATCTGTCCTCGCAGAGGAGGGAGAGCTTGTACCTGAATAAAACTTGGTCTTAAAGGTGCCACTGGACTGTTTTGGGCCGGGAGCCAGGGGGGAGCTCTGCAACTTACCTGGCTGCTTCTTGCTCTGGCTGAAGACTGCTGGGAGCAGGGGGTGGGGCGTGTTGCATGTGCCCACCCCCTGGGCTTTTTACTGCCGGAGCTCTGCTCCTGTGTGCTCCTGCAGGAAATGACCCCTGGTTTAACCTATTCTTCTTCAGAATCATATTGAAGTAATAATTTGTAAATTTGTCCTAATAAATGGTCTTTATATGGTGAGACAATCTTTTCAAAATCAGTTCATTAATAACTTCTCTTTTAGTGAGGATATCACTTTTTAATCTAGAAGCAATTTGAAAATATATCCACCATTGTATCTCCTTTCCTTCTTCTGGTCACCCCATCTTGATACCACCTTGGGAGTTTATCATATCACCATAAGTTATAAAATTATTGTTTTTCCTTATGTAATTGCCATAATCAGCATCTATTGGTGACATTATGAATGGAGTTCATGAGTTTTCAGTATACAGATTGAAAACTTTATTTCCCTCTTGAGAGTTCTAGCACCTCTTTTTTTTTAAAAAAAGGCCCTGCTTACAACAGTAGTTAAAGAAGGTGAAGTGTGCCTGCACATGAAAGTTTATACCCAGAATTAAACTTTGTTGGTCTTAAAGGTGCCACTGGACTCAAACTTTGTTCTATCACTTCAGATCAACACGGCTATCCACTTGAAACAATAGTTAAAAAACATTTCCAGTTAAAACCAAAAATAACCCTAAATGCCCCCTCTTAAAAGATGCCTGCCCATTCAAGCCCCCTCAAAAGCCCTGACAAAAAGGCAGGCCTTGTAGAGCCTTCTGAAGACCTCCAATGATGGGGCTCCCCTTTCCTCTTCAGTGAGCCCATTCTATACAGCAGGAGCCACAATGGAAAGGGCCTGGGCTCCGGCCTTAGTGGTTGCATAGTGGTAGGATAGCCAACAGATGGCTGTCTGAAGATTGTAGGGACACATGGAACATTGTAGGGACACATGTGCACAGGGACACATGGAAGTGCCTTGTGAGCTGTAGCAGTGAGAAATGGCTCTGTGGATAGACCCTAAGTGTTCCATTGATCAAATTTCATAATTGAGAAGTGTTTTGACAACAAATCTAGTTTGTCTGACAATGGAATAAAGACACTGTTCTTTACGGCTTCTGGCATACAGTCCTCTCAGAAGTCAGAAACTGGAGACATAATGATGAATTCAAGTGACAGAATGCTGATAATGTGAAAGGGGAGTAAAGTAACACAGGATTGTCTCATGGAGAAGCACTTTGTGGATGTGGAGGGTCCTTTTCATACCACCTCCCAAAAAGAGCCACAGATAAGACTGGCTTCGACAGGCTGTGTTTACTTGTCAGACGTCCATCAGTCAATACCTGGGAAACAGAAAAATCACGTGAAAATTGTACATGTGGAAGCAGATTTTTATGAAAATAAAGACAACAATGAGTCCCCGTGGATCTCCCCAGGACAAGGCCATACTCTGAGATATAACCCCTGGCAGTTTTCAGGGACAGCAACTAGAAGAAGACCTCTCTTTACCTGAGACCCTGGTAACTTCCTGCCAGTCAAAGTAGACAACAACACCCTAGATGGACCAATGCCAGACTCAGAATAAAGAAGTTTCATATATCCATGCAAGTTCAATGGCTTGAAATCAACTGCTACTTATCTTTCTCCCTGCCAAGCAGCCAACTCAGCTATCTCAAATATGCATGACATTCCATTTGCACCTTTATATTTATTTATTTAATTTATTTTTATTTGAATTTTTACCCCACCGGCCCAGTCAGAGCCGGCTCAGGGCAGCTTACAGAAAACAGATAATTACATTAAAAGCATAAATTATGATTTAAACAATTCTAAAACCATAATAAAGTGCTAGTAATCATTGGTAATCCTTGTTGTCCATAAACGGTAGCAGCCATCATTCAGAGTTGTCAGCTCACAGTGTTCGTTTTGGTTGTCCTTGCAGAACTTGCTGTTCTTTAGGCTGTTGGTGGCAGTTTCCGGAATCCAGGGCCCTATCCCATTCCACCATCCAATGTTCTACATTGGTGGTGGTGGCGGCTCCCAAAAGCCTGGTGGAACAGCTCTGTTTTACAGGCCCTGTGGAACTGTAAAAGGTCCCGCAGGGCCTTGATCTCCTCCGGGAGCTCATTCCACCAGGTTGGGGCTGCCACCAAGAAAGCCCTGGTCCTGGTCGTCAACATTCTAACCTTCTTAAGACGCGAGAGGGCCAGCTGGTTCTGAGCCCCTGACTGCAGTGCTCTCTGGGGGACATATGGGGAAATGTAGGTCCCTGACTATATACGGCTTTAAAGGTAAGAACCAGCACCGTGAAATTAATCCGGTATGCTATCGGCAGCCAGTGCAACACCTTCAGCACAGGCTGTATGTGCTCCCATCTAGAGAGCCCTATCAGAAGCCTGGCCACGGCATTTTGCACCAGCTGCAGCTTTTGGATTTGAGACAAGGGCAGCCCCATGTAGAGAGCATTACAGTAGTCTAATCTTGAGGTGACCATTGCGTGGACCACTGTCGCCAGGTCATCGCATTCGAGGAAGGGAACCAACTGCCTGATCAGCCGAAAGTGGTAAAAGGCTGATTTGGCAGTGGCTGCTACCTGGGCCTCCATAGTTAAGGAGGCATCCAGGAGCACTCCCAAACTCCTAACCTCCAGTGCTGGCACCAGTGGTGCCCCATCAAAGGTCAGGAATGGGATCCCTAACCCCGGTCTGCTCTGACCCAGGCACAGGACCTCCGTCTTCATCGGATTCAGTTTCAGCCAGCTCAGCCTAAGCCAACCAGCCACAGCTTCTAATGCCCGGTCCAGCTCTTCTGGTTTGGAGTCGAACTGACCGCCCAACAACAGATAGAGCTGGGTGTCATCTGCATACTGGTGACAACCCAGTTCATGCCTCCGGGCAATCTGGGCAAGGGGGCGCATATAGATGTTGAAAAGCATCGGGGACAGCACTGCCCCTTGAGGCACACCTGAATCCAGTGGGTGCCTCTGGGATAGCTGTTCCCCTAGTGTCACCCTTTGTTCCCAACTTTAGAGGAAGGAGGCAAGCCACTGCAAGGCCAGCCCCTGGGTACCAACATTGGCGAGGCAGTGGATCAGTAGCTGATGGTCGACCATGTCGAACACTGCTGACAGTTCAAACAACAACAGCACCACTGATCCGTCTCAATCCAAGTGCCTCCAGAGGTCATCTGTGAGGGTGACCATTGCTGTCTCCATCCCATGGCCTGGACGAAAACCGGACTGGAAGGGATCTAAGATGGAAGTGTCATCCAAAAAGCCCTGAAGCTAACCGCCACTGTCCTCTCTATCATCTTGCCCATAATTTACAACTTGTGTGGAGGGGGCATTCCCTCCACCATTCTTTCCTCCCCTCTCCCCCTACTTCTATGCCTCTCACTTTCTCTGGGTGAGTCATCTGAGCTTTCCTCCCCTCCTAGAGTTGCCAGATTCCCCGGTCCTGTGGAGGTTTCCCGATTTGGGGGGGGGACTCCTTTCCACCCCCAGCCAACTGGTTGGTGGGGGGAAGCCCCACCCCCAAGAGTGACCACCTGGCAATCCCCTGCTACAAGATTTAAAGGGCCCTCCAGCTGGCCCTATAAATCTTGCAGAGGAAAGAAGAGGGGTGGCAGCACATGCCTGCACCCCCCCACCTCTTCCCAACAGCGTTTAAAGAGATGCTGTTGGGAAGAGGCAGGCTGCATGCCCAAAAGTTGTCAGTGGCTCAGGGCTTCCAGGGGAAGTGAGAGTGGCACCTGCTCTTTTGAAGCAGGGGCTGCCCATGCCTGCCCTACAAGGGGCAAGATCACAACTAGCAGGGCAAGTGCAAGTGGCTCCTTCTTCAAATGAGTGGGAGCTGCTCACACATACCGTGCAAGCGGCAATCTGGTGGCTTGCAGGGCAGGTGAAAATGGCACCCCTCTTTTGAAGCCCTTTGCGCTTGCCCTGCAAGTGGCGATCTTGTGGCTCACAAGGCAGGCACAAGCAGCGCCCGCTTGTGCCTGCCCTGCATGCAGCAAAGGCTTTCAGGGCAGGCACCGATGGTCCCTACTTTCCCCCAACCATTTAAAGGGAATGTTCCCTTTAAATGGTTGGAGGAAAGGGGGGACATGCACACATGGCACAGCATCCCTGACATGATAACAGCACTTTGTGTGATGTCATCGTGGTGGTGGTGGCCCCTCTCCCTCCTGGCATGCCTCTCAAATCCCTCCCGTTGAGGGGAAAATACAACCTGGCGACCCTATCCCCTTCCTTGCTGGCTCGCCCAGAGCTGCTTCAGGCAGGCCCACCAAGACTTTCAGCGGCTTGTCTGGCCCAGCTCCAAACAGGACAAGCCTGCCATCACAGCAGCATCCTCCACCACAGGGACTTTCAAAGTGTTTTGTATGAGCCTGCACAGACAATGTTTTTAATGTTTGTGGGGGGGAACCCCCAATGTATTTTTTTAACTTTTTAAATAATGTATTAAACCCCCAATATATTTTTAAAGAACTTTTCAGATTTTCCTGCAAACCCAGGAGGTTACCCAAGTGTGCAGAAAAATCTCTTTACCCTCCATGTACACCCTATCTGCGGAAATAAGTATCTGCACTTAGGGGGTCACAGTTGGGAATTAGATTTATAGATAAAATATATTACCAAAAAAAGTAGTGTCATACTCAAAACACAGGATTATTCTAATGATGTGCATAACCACAGCTTGTTTGCTAGCAATCATGACCGACAACCCATTTCTCAAATGCAGGGCAGCTGAGTGCAGTACGCTCAACCTACCTCTATGGTCTCAATAGAAGCTACTAGAGATCATACCCCAGTACAGCAAGAGGCTTTCTAAGACACTTAGCACTAAGTACAAAGAAACAGATAACTGAAACAATCCTGGTTTTGTACCTATGCATGTAATTTAATAACGATCCTCCACTGAAGTGTGAACTAGTTTTACTTCTTCTCTTACCTCAAATTCTCCTGTGGCCAGCTGAGTTCCTGTCAGCAATACTTCTGGAAACACATAACTAGTATTAAACGTGCCACTGAGAGAAAAATAGTCAAATTTGGTACGAGCGGTATCCACTTCCTGCCCACAGGATTTCAAGTCTGTGGTGTTACACTTCAGTAGTGTGCATATCTATAGAGGAAAAAATAGGGAAAGGGAATATTTAGTACATCTTTAAAAATAAGAAATACAGTCTAATTTACATGGCATGGCAAAAATGCTTGCCATACCAGTTCTGTAGGTGCCAGTGGACTTTGGAATGGTACATTTTTTTTTTTACAAACATCACTTGTGTTAAGATTTAATCAGATCCTATTATTATCAGATAACTGTTGGATTTTATGTGCCAGTTTTAAATATGTTTAAGGAAACAACAGACTATTATTTCTATAAGAATATTTTGCTGCCTCAGTCAGGAGCCACAGGGGTTACTCCTTTTTGTACTATGTAAATTCCATATATATATTAAATTGAACTAAACAGGCCATTTCAGCATCACCTTTATTCTTCAGATAATATTAGGGAGCTAAAATTTTATTTATCTCCTTTAAGCAGTGACTTAACAAAATTAGACATGTCCTATGAAAGGTATCATACCTGTCTGTACAGGTAATTCTATAACAAATCATAAGGTGCTATAGGATTTCAGAAAATGCCCAGGAGACAATACCTTCCTATTTGTCACAGATAGGGATAGCAGATACAGCATTATTCATTTGTAAAGTAATGCTTGTCCATTATGTCTCTACATGCCGTCAAGACACAACCAACTTATGGCAATCCCTTTCAAGGTGAGAATTTGAGGTGATTTGCAGAGTTTTCCTTGGTGGTCTCCCATCCAAGAACCAACCCTGGTTAGCTTCCGAAATTAATGAGTTTGGGCTATACACCATGCCACCTTCCATCTCATGCTTACCCATTACATCCCATTAAATTATTTACCTGCAAATAATATTCTCCTTCAATCACATGAAGCCCATCAAAAGCCCCAAATGCATAAACTTCATCATTGCATTTTTCTGTCATCTTGTAGCTCAAGTGGCAACAGAGGCCTTTCTGGCAAACGGTATGATTTCCTGCTTCTTGAGAAAGTTCAGTGAAGGTGAAATTATCAAAATAAATGGTTCCAGTAAATACTTCAGCCTGTGAAAAGAAGTGCTCAGGATTTGAAGCATACAAGCTCCAGTTAACAGAGGGAGGATACATGGGGGACTGTCGGGGGCGTGCATCAACTTCTGCAATGAGGAGACAACCTTCCTGAGTTTCCATATCAAAGTAATATTTCTTGGCACCATTAGGTGTAAAGATACCACTTCCTGTAGATAAGAGACAGAAATAAATTGGAATCAAATCTGGTTTAGGGGTGGGCACAAACCACATTTTTGCAGTTCAGTTCATATTTTATGGCTGAACCATGATCTGAACCACAAACCTATAGGAAATGGGAGGCTGGTTCGCAAATTGAAACTTTTTGTATGGGTTCATTTGTTCCCTCTAAGCTGAGTTAGTGTGAGCTAGCTCACCGTTTTTTAGCCTCCATCTCACAGGTTTTTGTCTTAGCTCAGGAAGGATGGCTCCAGAGCAAACTGATTCATGCAGCAGCCAAATCGCTCGCTCACAACTTTAAGAGAATTTTTGCTTACAAGACTCAACAGCTTAGAGGGAGCACTGTTCATGACCCCTGCTTTCTGCTCCCCACCACTTTTCACATGGTGCAGAAAGCAAGGATTTAAATAGCTCTGAACCATTTAATTTCTGATTTCTGATCCCCACGGAAAGCTGTGGAGAGCAGAAAGCAGACTAGAGAAGGCCTGAACCAATGAAAAGCCATTTTCTCTAAAAGCTATTTCTCTGAAGGTAGTCCTAAAGAGACAAGTGAAATGTTCTGCTGGCATGTCAAAACTTAACTGGCAAGAAACAATATAAATACTGGCTGATCTCCCAGAATGAGGAAACTCAGACACTCTTTAGCTGTGTAAACATGATGAAATCACTGACAAGACAGTGATATAGGTGGTGGTTTGAGACTGAAGTTTTGCATGTTTCTAAAACACCTTAAGATTTTAATAAGTAACCTAGGAGATGGACAGAGGACAGGGACCTCATGGCCATTATAATAGCTTAATTTTCCTCATTTCCTATCTTTCAGGTACTCATTTGAAGGAAGACCCCTTGGAAATAAGGCCTTTTCCTACCAAGTCATCTTTGGGCATACTTTGAATATGTATCACTTGGGCAACCTTTGAAAATGTATCACTACCCCTTCCGCAAGGACTGGGTAGATTGTTACTGTCAGGTTCCACAGCAAGTAACTTACTTTGAATATGTATCACTACCCCTTCCGGAAGGACAGGTTAGATTGTTACATTCAGGTTCCACAGCAAGTAACTCTCCACACACGTTTCCTAAGAAGCGTTATACTTTATTAGAGTACAAAACTGGTACCATATCCACAGGATTATTGTTAGGAATGACTATGGGGCGGAAACATCCCTACATATAGCAGGATGAGACAAATGGCTAAGCAAATGAACTCCGAGCGCGCGGGCGGGAATTCTCCCAGCGGGAGATTACATAATGAGCAGAAGACTCGCAGGGTCTCATGAGAGCAGGAAGATTCACACCCGAGGTGGAATGCAAGCCCTCCCTTCCTCACAAGGCCAGACAGATAAAGCCGTCTGGCAGAGCTGGCTCCCACGGTCTTCCAAGCAATGTGTACTGCAAGCGGCTGAGCCGCAAGCAAGCGGGAACAGGGAGGGAAACAAGCAAAACATGGGGGGAGGGTTAATTCTATTTGCTGGCATTGCTCTATGTTGCTTTATGTTGCTTAAAGAAAAGCTACTGTTTCATTCTAGGCAGGGTTAATTTAGGTTGAGCTAAGCTATATGCTTTCAGTATTTTTCTATGTTGGGGTATATTCTGGAAGTTCTTAATATGATTAAAAGAGAAAATACGTGTCAGAATTTATGTATTAATAAAATCCCATGAAATGGTATAACCTGGTGTCCAAGCTCTCTCTTTTCCTGGAATTGTTATTCCCAGAGTAAGATTCAAAAGATCTCTCTCACAACATGAGTTTAGCCTGGAAATGATGCAGGTTAACAAGTGCTTTCTGCTCCCCGTGGAAAGCTATGGAGAACAGAAAGCAGTGGTTTAAATGGCTTGGAGCTGGACTCAAGAAAGCCCCTTTATAGCTGAGCCAAGCTGAGCAGTTTGCTCCACATGACTCAGCTGTTTAAAGGGACTTTCTTGGGCAGCAAGCCCCGGGGACTGGCTGCCCAAGAAAGCCCCTTTAAAAAGCTAAGACAGGAGCAGGCTCAGTTGTTTACAGCCCCAAAGAGCTGAGCCATGGGAGCAGTCTGCCTCCATGGCTCAGCTGTTTGTGATCTAAACAGCTGAGTGGCTGGGAGTTTCAGTGGCTTTCACGGGGAGGAAAGAGCAGGGATTTAAACCCCTGCTTTTTACTCCCCACGAACCTCCACAAACTGCCTTAAAAGTTCATGGAGGTTCATGGCTGGGCTGCGAACCATGAACCAGCCAAAATTCATCACAGACAAAGCTTCATGAGCCAGTTTGTGCCCTTCCCTTATCATCTTCAAAAGTAAACTGAGTCGTAGGATATATTTACAAGGGAGTCTCCCAGGATTACAGTCAAGTGATTTGGCACTGGATGCTGGCAAAGGCATTTTATAGAATCTGAAATGATCCAAACAGTATCACGTAGCAACTAGTGTCAGCTTCTAACATGGAAGAACCAAGCTCTCCATGAAACGCAATTGAATTTGGGCAAGACCTTCCTCCTGCCCACCAACTTTAAACAGAAATTTGTTACATAGCTAAAAATGTTTTTCCAAGAAGAGCAGGACACAAAAAATCTGTCCAAGCTTCTAAAGAAAATGAGCACCATCTGTCTACTAGCTTTCCCTCCTGACAAAACTAATCACAAGCGTAGCTACCACAAGAAGTGCTTATGGTAAAACAGCTCCAGATGACTCACGGGCAGTAGGCTTAAATCACATTCTGCTGAGAAAGAAAGTTTCCACACTAGCAACAACAGTGGTGTTGCATATGAAAATCCCACATCATTACACCTTCCTCATCCTCATTTCTCCTACCTATAGAACATATGAATCTAGGACCACACCTTTAGCTTGGTAACATCAATGGTCACTGCCTGTGACAAGAATAATTTTTTTTATGGTAAGGTCACAACTGCAGTAATCTAGCCTATAGCTCCCTTAAGGTACACCTGTTTTAGACATTGATTTTTAATAGTTTAACAGCAATGATAACTCTGAAGGAATCACGGGAGCTGTGGTTTTGTGAGAGTGCTGAACATTTTATCAGTCATATCTAGTTGGTACCAGTTGCCTTGGGGCAAGGAAAGGACCAATGTTTGGGGGATCAAAACAGGTTACAATTACTTTGGGACAGCATCCTTATATTTACCTACTTTCTTATTCCATTATACATATCAGCTTCACACCTGACAAAGGGAGCTTTAACTCTTGAAAGCTCATATCCCCTGAAATCTTTTTGGTCTCTAAGGTGCTACTGGACTGGATTCTAACTGTTCTACTGTAGACCAACACGGCTACCATCTGAAACCAACTTCACACCTTTATCTCTTTTTGTATATTAGAAGTATCATATCCCTTGTCTGTTTTCTCTTTGTCACTCTTGTTCTTTTAACCATTGGATCCTATAGCTTCACGCTCTTGGTCCAATGCCTTCAGTTTCACTGTTCCTTAGGTGGGATATTAGCCCAGTTATTATCCCATTAAACAAGGGCCACATATCATTACAGCTTTCTGTCCCATATCTAGCATGTAATTGTTAATTAACATTATATGTTAACAACAGCCATTGTATTTTGTACTTCGGCTATTTTCCCTGTCTTCTGTTCTCAACGTGATAATCAACATCTTGTCCTGCCAAATTAGTGTATTTTTTAATCTTTATTTTATTTTAAGCAACTCACTCATTTGCTTTGACAAAATTCACTATTTCATGCATTTTGTTATATAAGACAAAAACTCTTCTAGTGCTGTTGTTTGGAGTGTAAATTGGTTTAAAGCTGGTTCTCTCTTGCTTTCGCTCTTGCATTAAAATCCATGTAAGCCCACAAGCAGTACAAACAAGGCTCAAAATCTTGTTACAATGTCATTTGTCTCAAAGTCTTGTCATACAGGTGACAGACTGAAGAGGATGAATTAAGTAAATAGTTTGTCTTGGATTGTTAATACAAATAGATAGAGGGGTTTGGGTTTTTTTTTACAAGAGTGAATTTTTAAAAAAACAACCCTATAAATCCATATTTTTTCACCAGCAATTAACGAATGTGTCATCTCACTGCTCCCCATTCTCATGTTAGCATTGGCAGATATAGACCTTAGCCTAGAGGTTTAACTTAAGGTTGTGATTACCAGTAAGATCCAAGGAAGGTTTGCGTATATTCGCCGAAAGAAGATTTACACGCATTCCCATAGCCCAAGCTGAGTGGAACTGAACAGCAGACAACAGTGGGAGACCATTTGTCCAAGCAGTTGGGAAGAGGATTGTGTCCACCTTGAAGTTTTCAACAAGTGATACAGCAGGTTCACGGAAATTAAGTATATCAGCACAAGTGATAATGCCAAATCTCCCAAAGGAGGTGTTGAAGTTGACAAACTGTGGTTCCTTGGCGAAATCAAAGTAGGGCGTTTCCCACTCAAAAAGGTTGTACTGTTCAAAAGACAAAGAAATATTCTTAGTAGAAAATTGCTCAATGGTGATGGGAAAGAAAATCAGACTCAATCAAAGTTCCCTCTAAGCTGAGTTAGTGTGAGCCAGCTCACAGGTTTTTAGCCTGCAGCTCACACATTTCTGTCTTAGCTCAGGAAGGATGGCTCCAGAGCAAACTAATTTATGCTGTAGCCAAATTGCTCACTCACAACTTTAATGGCAGTAGCTCATGAAGTAGAATTTCTGCTCACAAGACTCCACAGCTTAGAGGGCGCACTGGACTCAATACCATGACTCATGGTATTTTTGGCAGAATACTATGTGTACTAGCTTTTCTTTACAAAGCTGTGAAAGCAGCAACTGATTACCACTGTCAGTTCTTGTATCCTCCAGTGATGATAGTGCTCCTCTGCCCATTAGGACAGATAGTGCTCCTCTGCCCATTAGGACTTCCTTGCTTCGTTCAGTGAGGAGGCAGTTACATGCCACTAAGCAATGCACAGATGCTCCTCCTCTAGTTAAAATGCCCTCTCATGCAGGACTTTGTATGCCATTGTAGTGCATCTTGGCTTGAGTTGTGGGGTTACTTTTCCTTTAATCTGATTAAAGCTCCTTGACTAAAAGTCTTGAGCAGTCAAAACCCCTTCTGGTTAAGTAGCATCATCTGGACTGGACACTAAACCAATGGAAAAATCTTGAAACAGCAAGGGTATTGTTACCACAAGTGGCCTGTCTCATTGTTGGGGGAATTTAGCTATGAGACAGGGGAGGCCAGAAGAGTACAAAGGATCACACATCTATATACACCAAGGTCCCAGTAGTCATGTATGGCTGCAAGAGTTGGACTATAAGGAAGGCCGAGCGCCGAAGAATAGATTCTTTTGAACTATGGTGCTGGAGAAGACTCTTGAGAGTCCCTTGGACTGCAAGAAGATCAAATCAGTCAATCCTAAAAGAAATCAACCCTGACTGTTCCCTGGAAGGCCAGATAATGAAACTGAAGCTCAAATACTTTGGCCACCAAATGAGAAGGGAGCACTCACTGGAGAAGACCTTGATGCTGGGAAAGATTGAAGACGGGGACGGCAAAGGATGAGATGGTTAGACAGTGTCATAGATGCAATGAACATGAAGTTGAGCAAACTTCAGAGGACGGCAGAAGACCAGAAGGCCTGGCATGATCTGGTGCATGGGGTCACGAAGAGTCGGACTCGACTGTGCGACTGAACAACAAAAAAAACAGTTCAGTAGGAAGACTCCAGATTTAAAGAGTAACCAAATAGTTTTATTAAAGAATATCCCTGATTACAGTCACACTAAGCAGTCAAGAATAAGCACACAATCCAGAACTAAGAAATAAAGAGGTGATGACAGGAATGCTTAGGAGCAGTTATAGGGGTTATACTACCTGTCCAGATGTGCAGATATCAGTGAAGAGGATAGTGCAAATGGCCAGCATTCCACACTACGGAGAAGGAGGCCAACAGAAGAGACTTTGGGGGCGTACTCAATAATAGGCACCCTCAGAGTGCACACCGAGGTGAGGTATGCTCTCTATTTTTATAGGAATTCTGGAGGCAGTCTCCTGGGCCCGAACTTGATGAGTCTAATGACCATTGTTGGTCCTCCCAGGATAGGTTGAATGGGTTCCCAGGCTTAGAAAAAAGGGGGAAATGGGTCCCTGATGTGTGTTAGGAAGGATCATTAATAATTTTAATGTTTGATTAGTTTATTTCGATATCCTGAGGGAAGAGGCAGGAAGGACAGATGTTGAGACAAAAGATTTCCACATAGGCATAGGTGTCACACAAAGGTGATCATATGGGGATTCGTAGAGAAAGGTTCGCCAGATGGCCACTGAATGGCTTTGAAAATGCAGATACTTTTCCTGGTGGAACTCATTCATTCTGTATGCATACCTCTGCCAAGTGGAGGAGGAGACTGGAGATTGCCCTGAGGGTGCCACAATTGTGCAACCTGAGATTGAAATCCTTTTTGAAGAGCCTTGGCACAAGTCAAGAGTGTCCTCTTTAGCCTGATTTTGTGAGTCCCTGGTTCAGGTTGGAAGTGGGGTGCCCCACTGTTGGCAGCACCCTTGGGCTATAGTATGGCAGTAAGGTAGCACCCTTGGGCAACAGTATGGTTAGGGAATTTGTCAGATAAAAGGAGTAAAACTAGACAAAGATGAAAAATTATCTAAGTAATGTGTTATAAACCTATTTCTAAGGCTAATATAAAAAGGACACTCCAATAAAATATGTATTAAAGTACATCTCTGAGAACAATCACAAAGGCAGTCTAAGTAAGAAATATTTCCCTTCATAAGTGAAGTCGGCTGTGCATTCAATCAAGATAATAAGTTCTAAAATAATTTGGGATAGTTAGACAAAAAACATAGGAAGGCCGTGTTTAGGTGGAAGAATACCAAAAAATTGAAGAGCAAACCCTGAGGGGACAAGACCATGTGCTCAAGTAATGCCTTTCTTGGATATTTTTCTTCACTTTTTTGGTTTTTAAAATTTTTTCATATATGCGCGTGTGTGTGGGTGTGCATGTGAGTGTGTGTGCACCTGGAAGTTATGGCGATCTCTGGTGACTGACCCCTACTGGGGTCCTGGAGGATATTCAAAGAGGTGTCTGAATAAGGCCTGTCCCCGCCTCCCAACTGCTGGTATTCCATGGAGGTCTCCCATCAAAGTACTTGCCAGAGTCAACCCTGCTTAGCTTCCAAGACCTGATGAGATTGGGCTTCCCTGGACTATCCAGGTCAGGGTTTGGATATTCTTCTTGATATAGGACTTGGATATTCTTCTTGGTATAGGTTCCAGGCCCTGAATACTGTCAATGTTTAGTTGGATAAAAGAAAGATTTGAGTTGAGAATCTTGGGACAAGAGGATTTATGAAAATCTGCTTTTAATAAAGATAGGTATCCAGAGTTACTATAGAGCACTTTAAGGTACAAACTGAAGGCCATTTGCCAAGCTCTAGCCTTCAAAGATGTTGACCCAATTCTGCTCATAGAGACTCTCCAGCTACACATTTTGGTGTGTTGGCCAAAGGAAGCAAAGTAGAGGAGGTCTGAGGATTCTTTGACTGATTGGATCTTGATGGCTGCCCCGAAAAGCAAGATAGGGACAATTTTTATATTGAAAACTTTAATTGTCTCAGGTATATATTATTCTCCATGGTACCTATAAATGTCTAGGGTACCTTCAGTACATGGTCCTGCTTTCTTCAGCATGGTTTTTGATGAGAGGACGAACTTAAATTATATGGGAAAACTATCCCGAGATATGTACATTCCTTAACCTGTTGGATTGAAACATTATCAATAATCCATTGGTATAAGGACCATAGCACTCTAGTTTTGGCCTGTCTACACTGGCTCCCAATTTGTCTCCAAGCCCAATTCAAGGTGCTGGTGTTGACTTTTAAAGACCTACATGGCTTGGGACCAGCACTAATAGCATACCTGAAGGATGGCCTACTCCCTTAACCTTTCATCCTGATTACTCTTTTGTGTGCTTTTTAATATGTATTTACATTTTGGTTTTAATTGTTCTTATATGTTTTTATGTTTTGTTTTAAGTGTTAGCCACCTTTACAAATTTTGAAAATAAAAATAAGCATAGTAATGATATGAATTTATATTACTTCCCGTGTTTGTTCAGAGGACCCAGTTACCAAACCAACCAGTTTATTTTTACCTTGTGGTAACGTGCCAAAAATTTGCCTTCTGGATCATAGACAACGTCTGTGTTGTATTGATAATGACCATCCTTGGGGCACTTTGGATCAGTCGAATTGCATGACTTCTTGTCCCCCATATTTGCAACCACATAGATAGAGTAGTTTCTTGCCATGCAGCTGAGTCTTTCTTGCACTTCACTTGATCCAAATCTAACACATAGAGGAAAATAATTGGTGTTAAACAGTGTCATGGGTTTGGTACCCATAAAGTCTCAGGCCTTCGACGGGGCTTGGAGGAGCACTGGGAAAGCTGTTTGCTTGGCCCATCAAGAAATGGCCCCCAACCTGGAGCAAAACCCAGAGGCACACCAAACATGGCTGCCAGCCATGCCAAAGAGATGAATGGGCCCAGGAGATCCGGAACCTCTTCAACAAACATTTTTTTAAAATGTTTAAAAGTTCATGAGTTTTCAGTATACAGATTGAAAACTACATTTCCCTCTTGAGAGTTATGACACCTCTCTTTCCAAAAAAAGAGCCCTGGATGGGCCCATTGCCCTAGCAACAGGCTGTTTCTCTCACAGCTGTCTGGATGGAAGCCACATTGGGCCACTTGCCAGACCTTCAGAGGGCAAACCTGGAAAGTGTAGCTGTCCTTCAATAGATGAGCAAGGGGAGAGGATGGAAGGTCTGTAAGTGGCTATTTAAACCTTCAAGAGACTGAGGAGGACTCACCTGCCTGTTTCTCCAGCCCACCTAGAGATACTGAGTTAAGAGAGCAGAAGGGTGAGGAGGAGGACATGGGTACAGAAAATCCTCTCTTGCCCTGAGCTGAGGCCTCAGGGGATAGCCAGGAGGGTTAACCATCAGAGCTCCTTGTAGGCGGTTTTCCAGACCCAGCAATAATTGTCAATGAAATTTCCTGGCAGGGGGCAGGGGAGATAGTGGAACTATGACATTTTATGAATGTTAGAATTCAGAATGTAATTGATTAAAGGAGAATATACAAAGACAGGTCTGATAGGAGACATTTCTTTCAAGGCTGGTCACACAGAGTAAGAAATACAGTATGACTAAGCTGAAAAGCATTGGCTAATACATAAATAATCATGGCTTTAGTTTTGGTGGATGGAAAACTCTCTTCAAAATGACCAGAGAAAAAGTTTTCTTAAAAAAATGTTTATTTTATTTATTCATTTATTGGATTTATATCCCGCCCTCCCTGCCGAAGCAACAACAAAGTTGTGCTATATAACAGTTCACCCTTGGAAGCTCTACCCATCAGGCTCTTCATGTGACAAGGTAACAGATCAGTCTGATTTATTTACAGAATTTATATCCCACTTCTCTGCTCCATCAGAACCACCAAGGTAGCTAATAATTTAAAAAGGACCAATTTAAACAAAAACTAAAAGACTTAATTAAAGCCACGGGAATAATAATTAAAACATAAGGGAGGAAGAAGGGTTCACTTAGGGCATCCTAGAGGAAACAAAAAAATCTTTACCTGCTGGTAGAAAACAGTGATAGAAGGTGACAGATGAGTATCCCTGGGGAATGGGAGTTCCATGATTTTGATGCCACGATGAAGAAGGCCTTTTCTCAGATTGCCACTCATCTAGCCTCAGATGTCAAGGGCACCCAAAGAATATGATCTCAGTGGTCAGGTAGGTTCATATGGGAGTAAGCAGTCCTTAAAGTATGCTGGTTCCAAACCATATAGGATTTTAAAAGTTCAACACCAGCACTTACACCAGGTTCTCACACCTCCATACACATTTCACGCAGAATACTTTATTTGAATATATGGTACATGTGCATATATTCATATGTGAATTCACTCTGCCTCTGGGATCATCTAATTCTTAGTTTGCAGCAGCTGGATCACAAAGGCAAGGCATACACCTGTACAGAATGTTAGTGTGCAGCAAAAACCAGCACTGTGATAGAACTGAGAGCTATGGCCCCAATTGGGTTCCCATTTGCCTGTTTATGACAGGAGACTTCCAGGTAATTGAGGCCTTTGTTGCCAATGCTCACCTGATCAGTGGGTGGGTACTGGAGCCAAAGGGAGGGCACTATTACCTGGACATCTCCTGCCGTAGAAGAAGAAAAGGAGAAGAAGAGATTGGATTTATACCCCGCCCTTCACCTGGAGTCTCAGAGCGGCTTACAAACTCCTTTCCCTTCCCCTCCCCACAACAGACACTCTGTGAGGTGGGTGGGGCTGAGAGAACTCTGACACAAACTGCACTTTTTCAATAACAGCTGTGCCAGAGCTTGTGACTAGCCCAAGGTCACATCAGCAGGTGCAAGTGGAGGAGTGGGGAATCAAACCCAGTTCTCCCAGATTAGAGTCCGCGCACTTAACCACTACACCAAACTGGCTCTAAGCATAGAGTTTCTGGTAATCTATGGTGATTCCTAGAGCTATCCTTGTCACTTCTGAGTAGCTCTTGGAATTGACAGAAACTCTACAGTCAGAACTTCCTGTAAATAGATGCGGCATTATTTTGCTTTTTAATTTTCTCACAGGATGTTGTCCCCCCACAAGCATCCCACCAAGACCCTAAGCATGTTGATGCAACTGGGCAAACTAACTTTGTGGAGTGAAAGTTGCAACAAGAGCAGCTTGGGTTATTCACTTTCCTATTCAGCTTCTGACAGAAATGCCAGGTAAGGATGGGCACATTAACTGCCAACTCGCACAAACTGGTGAAAATATAATCTGAAAGTTATCATCACTCAAAGGTGTATTTTAAGAATACATGAGGCAGATTTTGAGCAGTGGAGGGGGAAAAAATCGTAACTCATTCTAATGAATGTATTCATCTAGTTAGTTCATTTTCATTCCACTCTCCCAGGAAAGAGTTCAAGAGGGTGATTTTCCCTTACTTCATTTATCCTCAAATCAACCATGTGAGGTAGTCCAACACTAGACACTAAACATTTCAGTCTGAATGAAAAATGAAGAGTTCTATATAACTCAAAAAGTTGCATTGTTTCTGTATTCCCAACCCATACCTATTTATATTTCAGATTCAGGTGGGGTAGCCGTGTTGGTCTGAAGCAGCAGAGCAAAGTTTGAGTCCAGGGGGCACCTTTAAGACCAACAAAAGTTTTATCCACAGTATAAGCTTTCATGTGCAAGCACACGTCACCAGATACAGTGGAAAGAACCTCTTCAACCATTTCTTATGGGGGTGCTGTTGTCAGGGAGGACCATTTAGAGTCAAGATGTGTAAGTACTGGGTGATTATAGCTGAGATTGGATGTAAAAAAGATCTGCGAATGGTAGTAAATTAGCATACAAATACAAGACTTAACAAACAGATGTGGGAAAGAGGTTTGAGTCCAGTGGCACCTACAAGACAAAAAAAAGTTCAGTTCTGGGTACAAATGAGAACTGACTTAGTATGTGCATTCCTTCAGATTCATAGAAACAGATTTCCTCAAATACTGCATATGGGGTTAGTTGCCAGGAAGAGCTAATTAGAGTCAAGATGCCTAAGTAATGGAGCAATAAATACAGCTAAGATTGGAATAACACATTAGGTAAGGCATGTAAATAGCCGTAAGTTGGTATACAAATAATAATTAAACAACATATGTGAGAACTAAGTTTGAGTTCAGTGATAACTTTAAGACCAAAAAAGTTTGATTTCTGGGTATAAGTTAGGACTGAGTGATTTAGCATGTGTAGTGAGATAAGAAGCCAATATCTCTGTTAAGTTCTGAGGGTTCCATTGTTCTGAGTGTTGTAATAACTTGTAATTCAGCAATCTCAATTTCCTGTCTCTTTCCGAAATTCCTTTGCAATAAAACAGCTACTTTGAGGCCCCAACTGAGTGTCCTGAGGAGGAGAAACCTCCTAAAGGTTTCTTAGTCTTGTGATTTTTTATGTCAGATTTGCATCCATTTATCCTTTGGTGTAGGGTTTTACCTGTTTGTCCTATGTAGAGAACTGAAGGGCACTGTTGACATTTAATGGCATACACAATGTTGGAAGATGAGCAACATTGCATTATTGTGGGTGAGGAGTTGCTTGAGATTGGGGGACTGTCTGTGCGCAAGAAAAGGTATGTCCCCCAGTACTTGTGAAAGAGAACTGTCTTTATCCAGTAGAGGCTGTAAGTCACTGATGATGCGTTGAATTGTTTTCAATGCAACATCTAATTTGAACATGGACACTGGTACCAGATGCCAACTTTGCTGCCATGTACACCCAGACAACTCAGTCATTGGACCTAACAACATCAACTACACTCACAAAGTGGAATTTTTGCTCACAAGATTCTACAGCTTAGAGGGAGCTCACACTCTGGGGACTGTCCCCTGCAAGGAGACATACAACAAAGCCTGGTCCAAGCACTGGTTCTGGCGCCACGAGTTTTTTTTTTTGGGGGGGTGCCTCCGGAACCACTCCCAATGAAGTTCCAGCTGGACAATCACACAGGCAGCCCTTAGGGTGAAGGCCATTCACTTGCTGAATGAGAATTAACACTCCTCAGAGAAACTGCAATTACTGATAACAAACTGAGATTGCTGAACTTGAATTCATTCCCAAGTTCACAAGGATGCATATATCAGGGCTTGATGGATTCTTATCTCACCATAGATGCTAATGTTCCAATCAAGCTACTTAGAAAGCCCATTGTAGCTTTGCATTCTGACTTATTTCCTCTAAACAGCCTTCGCATCCTTTTATCTGGATAAAATTTCCATTCAAATTCGGTCTGAACGGATGGAGCTTTGACAGTTGAAAGTTCAGATTCCCAAGACCAAACTGATCTCAAAGGTGCTACTGTGGGCAGTGTGTGTGTGGGATTGCTCAGTGATTGGGGACTAGGTCACATCTGACCGGTACAAATGTCCATGGGATACTTCGGGGCCTGAAAAAACTTACTAAACATAACCCACAGTGGCTGTTTTAGGTAGGATTACTTTTTCTGACATATTTCAGGAGAGTTGTGAATGTACGTTTTCATATATGTGGGTTGGTTCTTTACATTATTGTGACATCATCACTGGTTCATGGAAATGCCTTGGAAAGCCAGAAAGGACGGTAGTGCCTTTGAGGACATCATCAAAACTGCATTTTTACAACAGTATCCTTTGCTGCAAAAAGCCGCCCTGAGCCTGATTTTGCAGGGAGGGCAAGTATAAATCGAATAAATAAAGAGGGATATCGGAAGACCACTTCTATTTGG